CAGACATTGTCATGCTAGAGATGGGCCCGAACCACACCTCAGGATCTGCAAGCCTTTGAGTTCTGGGAAGGTTGGATTCAGATCCAGATTTTGTTGCTGGCCCACTATTTCTACAATTAGACAAAGCTGATCAGTGCCGAAGCCGGTGGCTGAAGCTCATGTGTACCTCTCTGGGGCATCCCTTTGCGAGGGAGCCTTTGGGGTTACCCCAGCTGACTAACAGCCAGGCAGGAAGTGAGGAGCCCAAGTGCTCTCTCTTCCTACTCCACTAAGGGATGAAAGTAACTTAAAGGATTTACCGGTACGCCGGAGTCCTGAGCGGGGGTGTGGCCTCAACTGGAAGAGGTGTGGCCTCAACTGGAAGAGGCAGGGCCATTCAAGATTTAAAGGCCCTGGGGCTCCGGCTGTGACTAGGAGCCCCAAGGCCTTTAAATCACCCCAGCGCTACCAGCTGCAGAGGCGGCTGGGAGCCCCGGGGCTCAGGGGTGAATTAAAGGGCCTGGGGTTACGGCCGCCACAGAGCTCCAGGCCCTTTAAATCACCGTGGGAGCCCGGCTGCCGGAGATCCGGCGGGGATTTAAAAGGCCCAGGGCTCCTCGCAGCGGCTGGAGCCCTGGGCCCTTTAAATCACCGCCGCGGAAGCCGGTCCAGTCCGGCACGGCGTACTGGCTCTTGCCGGTATGCCGTACCGTACCGTACCGGCTTACTTTCACCTCTGACTCCATTCCCAGTACTAGAGCTGAGTAGACCACGGATTCAAAGACAACGCCTGCATGGCGCTGCTATATCCACCGGCACCCTCCCACAAGCAACTGTTCCTGGGGGCCCACAGTGACTGCCCCACTTCCTCTCCTTTGGGTACCAGGAAGCAACAGCCTCTGCCCCACTGCACAGGAAGGGGGCTGCAGAGGTCCAAAGACAGGGCCCAGAGGAGGATTCTCCCTGTTGGGACTGTGGAGCAGCTGAGCTTCCATGCCGCTTACCCTACCACACTGACTGCCTTCCTCCCCAGCAAAGGGGGTGTTTCAGCCTCAGGCCCTAGCCCTCCATTTATAAACAGCTCTGCATACATCCACCCCGCTGTGTTTTGGTTCTAGCCCTTCCCTGATCCTTTATTCCTTAAGCTGACCTGCCTGGAAATGGATTCTTTCATAGAATCATAGACTATCAGGGTTGGAAGGGACTTCAGGAGGTCATCTAGTCCAACCCCCTGCTCAAAGCAGGACCAATCCCCAACTAAATCATCCTAGCCAGGGCTTTGTCAAGCCTGACCTTAAAAACCTCTAAGGCTCTTTGGCTCTTAAGAGCTCTTCTCTCCTGCTGCTTAATTCCCATGTGATGTCATAAGCCTCTCGGTGGCATCACGGTTGGCTGCTGGCACAATATTGATGTCACGAGTTGATGTTTGTAGCGTCCGATGAACAAGAAGCAGCTGAGGCAGGTTAACTTTTAAAGAAACCAACACTGTTCACAAATCAAATGGGGTTTAAAATTTCTCACAAAGAGCCAGGGGCTTGTCAAAACTATCCTGAAAGGCTCAGCAATTCTTTTGCTCCTAAAGTGAGGTCTGAGCGAAACACTGATTCAGAGTGGCTAGAAGAGGTCAGGGGAAAGAGGCAGACAGACATGTAACTCTGTGGACTTATGATAGGGTGTTTGTATCCTGATGCCATCGGGGGAGAAAAGGGCTATTTAGTTTCCTTGGGAATAGGAAAATACCTCTCCTACCTTGAAGGGTGCATAGGAGCTGTTAGTTTTAGACAGAGACACCAACGGTTAGGCCTCAACAGAGAAACAGCTCTTTAAAGACAGCATCTGGGTTACGGGAAGGAAATTGGTTTCAGTGAGTGGCACGCTATGCCTGGATTCATCTGGTGATAAGGTCCAAGATCATTGGCAAAACTGCCTTACGGGAATTCAGGATACATCGGCTGAGTGAAATCATTGATGTAGTGTCAGCAGGGAGCCAGGGATGTTCATTACCAGTCCAACCCTTCTGCATCACATGCCTGGCACTGTGAATCCATTGTGACGACCTGCAGCTGGTAAGCAAACTAGCTCCAGTCCCAAACAATAAGCTCAAAATTCTAAAGCATAAATTAATTAATTGATTCCAAATATTGGTATGAGAAGGAGGGGCAAAGCGGTGAGAGGGAATTGAGAGAGTTATGATTTTCTAGACAAACCTATGGCAATATTCAAACAAAAATGTAAGTATATTTTTATATCCTTCCCAGAGTCTTTCAAATCCATGCAGCGTTTCATATGTATCCCACAGTCTGACATTCAAGTTGGAGAGATTTTTCAGTAGCGACTTAGTTAATTCCATATTTGGATTTCTCTTTAAAGACGATAATATTATTATATTGTAGACCTTAATAGCTCTGCACAGCCTCTCACATTAACAACTCAAGGACATTTTCCAGTGCCTTTAGGAAAATTTATATTATATTACTTATAACTCCATATGAGTATCAGAGGGGTAGCCGTGTTAGTCTGAATCTCTAAAAAGCAACAGAGGGTCCTGTGGTACCTTTAAGACTAACAGAAGTATTGGATCATAAGCTTTCGTGGGTGAATGCCCACTTCATCATGCATCTGATGAAGTGGGCATTCACCCACGAAAGCTTAACTCCATATGAGTAATTCTTTATTTTCAGACAACATGTTAGATCTGCTTTCAGGTTAACTGTTGGACCTGAGTTATTGGGCTAAAGTTTGCTTCAGATGCTCCAATGACTTCAATGATATTATTCTAAGTTTGCACCAAGAGCAGAACTTCATCACTTTATGCTCAAGATTCTTCGGCTCTATGCCAAGAAAGCACTGAAGATGACACAATGAGCCCTGAAGTGGGTCTAACACTCTTGCCAGCCAATTCATAGACTGGAAAGAGAGACGCTCCACCACTGTAGCCCTGGGCTACTTTGGAGGCAGAAGAGGCTAAGAGAAATCTTGCATGTATATTTTTCACTCTGACCCAGGCAATGCCTTTCATAAAAAACATGTAAGCCATACAACAATAGAAGTTACCTCCCAAAAGTCCATGGATATGATACCCCTATGAAATACAGAGCCTCTTCAGGGTTGTGCATTCGCCAATACAGTTGTGCCTTGTCTGATCATTATGAATGCAAAACTCAGGGGGGAGAGGGAATAAAAAAAAAGACATTAATCCTTTCAGAATGCAACAGAAGATGGAAGGCTTTTCTCTTTTCATATTATAGATTTTCAGGGAGAACAATCTAATGATACCATATGTTGTGGAAAAGGACTTGCACAGCTGTTATAGGAGAGAAAAAGTATCTCAAATGGAGGAGAACTAGTAACAGCAACTCTAAGCTTTCAGTCAAAAACAAGACACAATTTTCACTCTTTGGGACTTTACTTAGGGCCTGAAGCTGCAAGCTTCTCCTGGCAGGTGTGCAGTGCCTTAATCTCCAACTACACCATGCTTCCATAGGGCTCAGCTCCTTTGTAGAAGACAGTACTCAAGGTACACCACCACCATGCATACTTTTTCTCTTGACCTCTCTGTCAAAGTGTAAAATACTGATTTACTCACTGAAAACCTTCACAGCCATGAACCAGTCACTTGGAGGAACTCAGGTTCTCATTAGAAATTGCATTCAAATGGACAAATCCTTAGTTTCTAAACAAGCAAAACTCTCATTGACTTCAACAGGAGATTTGAGTATGGACAAAGAAGAAACGCACAATGTGTCTCGAAGGAGGAGAATTGAGTTCAGTGTTTCTAAACCTGATTTTAAAAAAGTCACATCCTGAGAGAAATAACCCCTTCCCTCCCCCTTACATCTGTTTTTGCTTCATGTGGTACATTTTTGAATGGCCTACATGAAGGCCATAAAGCTGTCACTTCTGGTAGAATAGCACTTAGTGACGGAGAGAAGTCTTCTTCTAACACTGGTCTGAGCATTATTGATGCAATAAATGGTAGCAGCCCGCCGTTGAGTGAAATATTTGGGTGCTAACAGTAGCAGCTCAACAATTGCACCAGCAGTGGCCATCATTAAATACAGAGTAATACAAGTCAGATTTGACTAAGGGCTCAAATCGGTTTGCTTTTACATTGCTAGTGAAACTCAATCAAAACAGGATCCAGCCCTAAGTACTTCATCTTAAAATATGATGTCAAGTAGTAGTGACATTATCCATCATGGCAGTTAGTTCCATATACTGAAGCTTATACAAAAAGTGGGAGGCTTACCAGGTGGGATTTGAGGCAGTAATGAAAAACACATACAGAAGAACAAGACAAAATGTTAAATATAATTACATCTTTAAAAGATTGCTTCATCTTACATACTACTGCAATACGTGAAAGAGACGAATAACTTATTAATAGTTTTACTTTAGTGAACAACAGGTAGATTTATCCATACCTTTACTTTATCTGAAAAGGAAAACATTCGACTCAGTTTCCTCTATGCATGCATTTCATTTTCTCAAAATGCAACGGGGCGTGCATTACATACAAGGTGTTATCCTGCTTCACTGAAGTACAGCTGTTATCAGCATTCCTGCAGCAGTATGCAGAAGCCTTATGGGGTGGAAGGAGCTGGGGACAAGGGGAATCTGGTTCTGAGTGCCGTTAGTTTCAGCAGAGTGCAGCCTCAAAAATGTCGGGGCGAGAAACTGACTAGGGATTGATGCCGTTTCGAGTAGCAAGCAACTTTTGGCAGCCAAAAAAGGGCAGTGTAATGATGAGAGCTGAAATAAACAAACTTTATTTGAGAAAAGCAGCACAATCTTACTTCTTGTCTATAATACTGTATATGGTTTATACTATACAGTGTCCCGTGATAGACCGTATCAGACATTAACAGGCAAGCAAAGGGGGACATGAAGCGCATAACGCTTCCTGTATCAGTTGCACTATATTGACACAGGCTGAAAAACACACAGCACACTAGAGGGACACGTACATTAAAAATAAAAGTAATCATAACAAACAAAACATGGATCCATAGTGCACAAACCTTCCGGCTCTGTGTTCTCTTTGAGGTGCACTTGCTTCAGTGGGCAGCAGAAGATTTCGTGACACTTAGCACGAAAAGGGGACTCTTTTTTCTTTAATTCCGCAGATTGGATGGAATCTTGCCGTAACATAATGTACTCCTGTGTGCCAGGGGGAGCGTCATCCATAACTGTGGTCACCACATAACAAAATGAACTCAAGTTAGAGTTTAACGAAAGAAATCTAGAGACGTATATAAACTATATAATGTGATGTGGGGAAGGAAAAGGGGGAGAAACATTGGTCGCGAGGAAAAGAAAATGAAAAGCGTTAAAAAGGTTTTGTGGTGCTGATGGAGGAGGGGGGGGGATAGTTTACTTTGATAAAACAACACTTCTCATAAACATTTGTCCTTTATCTTGTTTCATGCAGCCTTCATCCTAATGAAAAAGTACCATCATAATGAGCTGTTGCAGAAAGTAACACGGGCTACCTATTCCGTATCCCCTACGGTCTCCAGAAATACATGCTGTATTCTGCATGCAGATTAAGGAAAACTGAAAGAGAGCGTGCCATAGTCTAACCTGCCGATGTTCTATTCTGCACCTGAGTTTATAACGTCAGTAAGCCACATTGCCATATCTGCAATGCAGCGCCAACACTTCTCGGTTCCCCACAGTACAACAGAAGACGTCTCGAGTAGGATCAGTAACAACAGACAATTCCTCACAGCAAGGATGATAATCCAATGAATGGACTATCGCCTTCAAATGGATACAAAAGTAGCAGCACGAAGAGTGCATGTTAATTTTGTTATGGCTTTTCCAGTTGTCCTTTTAAAGCAATATTCCCGTTGATACTACAGAGGGCATATATTCGGAATTGTTTTCTCAAATCGAATCATTATATTAAGCAGTAAGTTGTGAGATACGGAAATAGCTGGCTTTTGAATCATTGACAATGTTACATAGCTAGAGGGTCAAAATGCTGTTCTGTTAGCTAAAGAAGCTATCCTCACTCCTCACCTAGAAATGCAGTGATCTTGGGATTTTGGCCTTAAAATGCAGACCTTTGTCAGGAGCAGTGCCTATCTCATTGTTAAGAGCGTTTATCATCCTAGTTAGATATTTGTGGCTGTCTAGAGAAGTATAAAACCTCAGCTGAAGATGTGGATTGTAGAACCTCAAACTAATATCTGAAAGAAAAAATCCCAAAGACCAGAAAATTAACAGCATACATGCTATGCTGAATAAACAGTGCAAATATACTAGCAAGACATGAGATCATACTCTGTTTGGAGTCTAGACAGACACCCCAAGCAATCTGACTGGCTCATGTGCTTTCATTTTTAATTAGCGCCTTACAGATAGCAAGTGGAATTGCATCACCCACTAAAAACAACCCACTTGCCTTAGGGCTTGTCTACACTACCGCGGTAGTTCGACGGCTGGCAATCGAACTTCCGGGTTCGATTTATCGCGTCTGGTCTGGACGCGATAATTCGAACCAGGAAGTGCTCGCCGTCGACTGCGGTACTCCACCTCAGCGAGAGGAGTACCGCGGAGTCGACGGGGGAGCCTGCCTGCCGCGTGTGGACCGCGTCTGAACCGCGGTAAATTCGAACTAAGGTATGTCGACTTCAGCTACGTTATTCACGTAGCTGAAGTTGCGTACCTTAGATCGAATTGGGGTGTTAGTGTAGACCAGGCCTTATTGTTGACATCTTAAGCCATCAATGAAAGCAACGAATTTAGTTCTAGTCATTCCTTGGGGATAAGTAACCAGCTAGTGGTCTTGGGTTGCTCATTAATCCCCAGGAAAGGCCTTGGACCTAGACTGCTGTTGCTTCATTAGATGAGAGGCAGCATCAGTTATGTACACATATAATCCAGGGAAAGTACCATTAAAAGTGATTCATGAACTTATTAGGAAACTGTAACTGATTTGAAAAAAGTAACAAGGTCGTTGGAGCACACAGTCTGGACTGCTGGATAATTGCTATCTTAACAATCCTTGCTTTGGTTTGGCTTTATTTAAAGGGGACTTTGTGTGCATGAAAGGGACCAGGTTGACAGCTCCGGAGCTGTGGGGCAATTTCTGGGAGTAATCACTGGCTGAGAGGAGCTGGAGGTCCATGATGTGTCAAGGGCCAATAACGCCAGCTGGCTGTTTCTCCACAGGAAATGCTGCGCAGAAATTGCTATTCCTAGAACTTTACTACTAGAACAAAAAACGTTGTAAGGTGGCAAGCGACCTGTGTGCAATGCTATTGACGTCAATGGTGCAGTGACCGGATGATGATCCCTGTGGTATTTACAGAATTAAAGGATACAGTGTGTGGCTGTTGAACATTATTAGCCAGGAGGGAAGCGAGATGCACATGCTACCTTCAAACAGCCAGCCAGCTGATCAGTAGCAACCCTGCTGTCATATCATCAGCCAGGGGCAGGAAATGTGGAGTGGGCCCGATCCTGCAAGATGCTGAGCCTCTTTGGAGGGATGCAGAGAGCTCTTAGCTTCCAGATAAGATAAAGGAGATCAACATAGCATACAAGGTGCTTACCATCTTGCAGTATTGGGCCCTACGTTTGTACAGAGAGGAAGCAAGCCGGCTAGCTGCTGCAAATAAGGGAGAGCAACTATCTATTGGTAGATGGAAGCACTGGCCAGGAGGAAGGCCGGCTGCTTGCAAGGTGACCAAGGAAAGAGGTTTGCTGACTGCAAGAAAGGAGAATTGGGCGGGAGAACAGCTTACACTGCTTTCGACAAGTGAGCAAGAAGCTTTGCCAGTGGCAAGGGGAATGGGTGGGTAGGTACTTGCAATGGGGTAGAGCAGAGGTACTCTAGTAACAAAGCTGAAGAGATGGGGTAGACTTATTCTTCCCAGGGTACTGACCTGGTTACTTGGTTAAGGGTGGGGGTTTTGTTTTAAATGCTCAGGATACTCCCAGAAACATAAAAAAGCAAATACCATCCAATCAGCTTTCAAGATGGATTCCGTTCATTTTAAAATTATGATGCATAGAATAGATACCATATAAGCCAGGGGTGGGCAAACTTTTTGGGCCGAGGACCACATCTGGGTGGGGAAATTGTATGCAGGGCCGGGGCAGGGAGTTGGGGTGCGGGAGGGAGTGCAGGGTGTGGGAGGGGATGCGGTGTGCAGGAAGGGGCTCAGGGCAAGGCATTGGGGCAGAGGAGGGGTGCAGGGTGTACGAGGGGGCTCAAGGCAGGGGGTAGGGGTGCAGGAGGGGTGCGGAGTGCAGGAGGGGGCTCTGGGGCAGGGGGCTGGGGTTCAGGAGGGTTGCAAGGTGCAGGCAGGGGGCTTAGGGTATGGAGTTGGGGGGTGGGGTACAGGTGAGGTTCGGGCACCGGCCCAGCACCGCTTACCTCAAGCGGCTCCGGGGTGGCAGCAGTGTGCACCGGGGCCAGGGCAGGCTCCCTGCCTGCCTGCCCTGGCCCCAACCCTGCACCACTCCCGGAAGCGCTGTGGCCCCGGGGAGGGGGGTGGAGGGCTCTGCGTGCGCTGCCCTTGCCGCACCTCCAGGTACCTCCCCCGAAGCTCCCATTGGGCGTGGTTCCCCGTTCCCGGCCAACGGGAGCTGTGGGGGGCGGTGCCTGGAGGCAGGGCAACGCATGGAGCTCTCTGGCCCCCCACCCGGGGGCTGCAGGGACATGGTGCTGGCAGCGGAGCGGTCCGGATCCAAAGCCCTGAGGGGCCAGATGCGACCTCTGGGCTGTAGTTTGCCCACCCCTGGTATAAGCAGTAGCAACATGCTTCCCCTCCCAATCCCCGCCTCCTCTCCCATATCTAGCATCAGTTTGGTGCATGACCTCTGACTGTCAGAGAACCACTTTTGATCAATCCAAACTCGTCACAGTGTGAGCCACAGGCCTAGGGAACTAAGAGCACAGGCATTATCAATCCCCTAGTCCCGGCCCGCGCTCCCCCCTCAGGGGCCCTGGCAGCGCAGCGGAGCTGAGTGGCGTCTGCCTGCTCGGTCCAGTGGCTGCCGGCCCCTCCCTGTGGCCCAGGGACGGGGCAGGGCCGTTCCTCCGCACGCTGCCCCAGTCCTGAGCGCCCCTGCAGCTAATGGGATGCCGCGGGGGTGGTGCCTGGGGAGAAGCGCGCCCCACCCCGCCCTAGAGCCCCAGGTAAGTGCTGCACCCCAGAGCCTGCATTCCCCTCCCTCCCCACGTACCCCCTCCCGCCCCCAAACTCCCTCCCAGAGCCTGCAAACCAATCCCCTACCCCAGACCTCCTCCCCCACCCAAACTCTGTCCCAGAGCCTTAGGCAGGTGGGGGGGCGGAGTTTTATGGGGGGGCGGGTTCTGGGTGGCATGAGTGACATTGGCCCGCTGGGAGGATTTGAGGACTGGCACTGGCTCTAAGGTAAATTGAGTTTGAGACCCCTGCCCTAATCTTTCAATTTGTCTTCACCAAAACACATTTATTTTCAGTTAATTTAAATTTAAATAGAGAAATTAAGGTCCAAATCCTCAACTGGTGGAAATCAGCCTAGATGCACTGAAGTCATTGGAAGTAGGTGCATTATGCCAATTTACAAGAGAGGCTCTGGGTTAAAAGATCTCTTTGAGGACTTTGTCATTATGCTCCGCACGGTAGGAATCATTAGATCATTAACATCCAGGGTCAATCTTAGAAACAAATTCTAATAAAATTTTAATGCTGAATGATGTATGAGTGACATAATCAAAGTCATCGTTTTGAAAGCAGTAGTTAAACCTTTTCGTAACATGATGAATGGCCTAAAGTCAGACAGAGAATTTATTACAGAACTAGAAAAACATTACTGTCTCCTATTTCATGATGTAATGACAGTCATACAACTTAAGGGAGCCACTGAAAGGAAGGATACAGACACAAGTAAAGGACCTCAATTACAGCCCGGACGCGCCAATTAGTGCGAAACGTTGAACAGCAGAGTCTAATGCAACGAGCTTGCAGAAACTGATCAAATCCACTATTTGAAGAAGGACAAAACATAGAGGAGCGCTGCACTGCAGTGATTTCTCGGTGCACTTCGTGAAGGATATAAGCACAAATAGAAAATTAGAGGAAAATCTCACAGCAGCAGAACCTCAAAGTAAGTTCACTAACAGGAAAAACCAGCTAGAAAATACTAGCTGAACCCATCAGGTGAATCATGGGAGGTGGGGGGGAACAAA